AGAGAGATAAACCCACCATAACATTCTATCAGCTCACTTCTGTTACATTACAGGAGGCCACACAACCAGAACAAAACCCTGTTTTCCCAGCCTACAGACTAGAACAAGATGATAATCCCAAATATGTTGGACAGCCTTTACCAATTGATTTAGGTAAGAACATTTACAAGGTCTTGATTTCAGCTGTAGCTGAAATGTACTTCTGGGTTTTTTTGTTGCTGTTCTGAAACGGGTTTATTCCCCTGAAGTTCGCAACATGAACGTGAGTAAAAGTTCTCAGCTTTTATGCCACCCTCTAAGTTCAGTGATAAATTGAGATATGGCCACGTAAAAATAATGTTTTCCAAATGATATTAATAATATGAGGCAGAAAGAGCAACCCAAGGAAGTTATACATCCATTTACCTAATAAAAGCGGGGATTGAAAAGGAATCAACTGCACTTCAACGCATGACAACACCTACTGACACGAAGTGAGGGTGCTCAGCACCTTCTGTAATTCTTTCCCAGGGATACTGGACAAGGAGTGATACAAACCAACTTTGCTTGTAATTTAGGAAGACACACAGAAGCCACCTGTTTCACATCACATGGACACACCATACAAACACCCCCCAGTATCCCCCATCAGAAGGATTCCAGGTTGTATTTAAAATTGCTGAATCTATGTAAATAAAATAAGGCTTGTGATACACTGGAGGAATTGTCTTTTATAAACAAAGTATACCTCAAACTGTCACAGTGTTCTACTGAGTCTCTGATTGGAGACATAAGGATGGATACATTTAAGATCTTTATTATCAATTCACCCTCTATCACTGCCCCAGGCACTATTATATGCACAGAGACAAAATACTGTGGCTGCTAAATATTAACCAGAGAAAAGGGATTCCAACAGCCAAATAGAGTTCTGCAGTTCACATTTTGGTTGTAGGTATCAATTTATCATTCAACTACATTTTTTCCCAAAGGGCAACATTAAGAGGAAGCTTTGACAATCCTACTTACACACAACTCCACTGGCTTCTTGACTTTGTAAGAATATATACTACTCAGTCTGTTTCTAGACCTGAAACTTGTGCTCTACTCACTCTGCTTTCCATTGAAAAGAGGGGGGGGAAGGGGAAAAGAAGAAGAAAGAGGCTCTTGATTCAGACTTTCAACAGAAATCCCCTTCCAGACAACGTAACATCCTAAGTCATGAAGGACAAGAAAGAGCAAGTCACCTTCACTCCTCTCAGAGACACACCAATGCTCCCATGAGTCGTAACGGCACCCTACAACACTTCAGAAGAGTCAAAAATAAAGGAAGAGCAAATGTTGTGGAATAAAAGCACAGGCAAGAGCCTGGTCTTCCCAAACCATCTATTCCCAAAAGTCAGCTGTGCCTTGCATGTGTGGTAATATTTTGTTCTACAATGCAAAACAATGTTATGGAAGAGGAATTTTGAATCATGGCCATAAAAACTGTCTGTGGAATAATATCTGGTTATTTCTAGTTCCAAGTAGTCAGCACCATTAAAATCTATACATATTTACAAGTGTCAGTGTCAGCCAAAACTTCCTAATGTATTTACTTACTCCTGAGAGCAAAGAACTGATTGCCTGGTCCATGCCAGTACACTACAAAACAGGCCAATACCAACATTGGCATTTGGCGTGCCTGCACCCTTGAGTAAGAGCTCCAAGTTGTGTCTGTAAGTCTATAGAGGATCTCAGAGTACAAGAGGAAGGACTGGAAGAGCTTCTTGCCCGAATCAGCTACATATGGCATGATACTGCAGACAGGGTAGGAATTCAACTTGTAGTAAATGAGTGGCAAGATGTGAGCTGCTGAAAAGCAGCTGTCTGTGGTCAAGCAGCATGTTGAACAGCATTCCCAAGCCTTACTGCGTATTTCTTTTTAACAGGCAGAGCTGATTTCTGACTCAAATACCACATTCAACAGCTTAACTCAAGCTGGTGCAGCTACTGATCCTCTGAAGTGGTACATCAGATCTGTTCCTCCATTCATGCTTCTTGACTGCTGCTCTATATACTTTGAAATGCTTCTGAACTCCTATCAGGGCACATACAATTCACCTAACGTTTGTTCTCTGATAAAGCACTGATCTCATCTGGCCATTTGGGGAAGCCACAAGTTTGAGTGGGATTCCATGTAGGTGGAATTAGTCGGTGTCAGAGAAGTCACTGCTCAGAAGAGACATGAAATTAATTACCTGAAAGTACTCAGCATAAAATGAGTTTTCTTTCTCAGCTGCCTATACAAGCTTAGTGGATGTATTCCACACTCCTGAGAGCCAGGAATATTATTCCAGGACTACTCAGTAGCTTGATTAACACCCTATTCAAGGTGCTAACACCAGCCTCTAGCTTTGAGATTAGTTTAGGTTTTTACTCCACAGTCAGGTTTTTCTCACTGATGTGAGAATTACTCGGACATAGTGTGTCATCTTTTACCAAACTCTGTAGAGAAAAAATACCCCAAACCAGCTTGATATTCACTGTAAAGAAGAAAATTACCCCAAAACACAGAGGTTTGCACCTCCAGACCACAGAATGATCAACAACAGGATTGTGGTTGCTCTTTCCCAAGCGAGCTTTCAAATAAAGAAGAAAGGACAAAGCATACTTTCCTTTACACACAGAAGGGCCTCTGGTTACACATCCACCACACCAGTGCTTTGGATGTGTTTGGGGCCTGGGGTTTCTGTGGGTTGTTCTGCAAAAAGAACACTTCAAAACATAGAAAACAGATACCGAAGCCACTGAGCTGAATTTCAGAGTCCTGGAAAAGTATATGAGCATCTTATGCTGAACACAAAATAAAGTCACTCAAACAGAAATCCATGTTTGGAGATACAATCCACAGCTCAAGCTTGTTTGGTCTGAGTGTACCCTACCACACATTACTACAAGTCAATTGTCACACCACAGTATCCTGAACCTCATCTACAACGTATCACTTCAAGCTACCATGAAACATCTTCCATCCCTCCCATGTGAGCCACTGCATTACCAAAGCTGATTAAGATGAAGGCAAAGTTTAGTTTTTATAGACAAACCACCAACAGGTCGTCCTCAAATGTCTGTTACAACACTTTTACATCCAAAAGCAAAATATATCTACAGATAGGTACTCAAAGAAGCATGCATTGTAAAGCAGTAAAAAACCACTCAGGTCAAATATCATCCAGCAACCTAGACTCAAATCCTTTGTCTACATCTCCCCTCATTCCAAGGCAAAAATACAAACTTGAACTAGAATTAAAAGCAAACCACAACCACAAAACAAAGTGGCTGTAACCAAATGAAGAAACCCCTGCATTTGGAGAGCTGGCTAGTGTGAGTAATTACCTGATCACTAAGTGCTATGCTCTGTCATTTCATTGATCTTTTCAGGGTCACTCATTTTCTAATAGCTGGAAGAATTAACAGCTACTTCTACACAGAAAGCAGGTTAAAAACCACAGCGAGTACTCACATAAATGGCATTTCATAAGAGAAATCATCCATTAAACACAGAACTTGAACACTAATACAAACAGTCCATTTAGCACTCATATCCCCAAACCTAAAATGTACCAAAGAGAAGCGATGAAGTTAAACACAGGCATCAAGCGTGATGCTGAATATCAGAGATACAACACACCACAGACTTCATAAATGCCTCACCTTGTGGGACTGCTCCACAAAACCACACAAATGATGTTACAAAACCGTTTTCACATATCGGATTATAAAACAGTACAGGATTACAGGCCCTTTTCCCCAGAGCTCTGCACCATGCACTAGCAAGATTGCCTCCTAGGGACTGACACCTATACCTGCTACGAATGCAAACTGAATCTATTCAGGGAGCTTACCTAATCCAATACCCCATCTCAGACATAAGGGCAGTTTAAAACACTTCAGAGCAAGGTAAAGGCAGCCTCATAAATAGGCAATTACCTAATAATATGCCCACACAGGGATTTTCTTCCGAACTGCAAGCAGTTAGCGGTTGGCTATGCCCTGAAGCAGAAAGATTCCTATCTGCATTAAAACCACTAAATCTACCATGTAACAATTCAAATATTTATTCTTTATAGGCCTATCTAATCCCCACTTAGAACAGTACTTTTCTCAACAGTATCTCTAGAAATCAAGGCCCACAGCTAATTGTTTTCTGCACTGACAGAAACAATAGACCTTTCAGCCAGCACAGACCTTGCTGAGCCCTGTCAGGTGCTATTCATCTTTTACTCAAGTGCTTGTGGAAATACATCCCTAAACAACGAGGTTTTTGTAAGTATTTGTAAGGCATTCTCTGGGTTTACAAAACTACCTAAATGAAAATGTAAGAGACATGGTTTGGACCTGAAGAATAACGAAGGTACAGCCTAGTATCAGCTCTGCTTTGCAACCACAGCTGATGAAGGTTGGTTGGAT